TTAAAAGGTTGTTATGAGGTGGAGGGGGTAATTGTTTGGTTTGCTTATGTGTGTGTGTGTGTGTGTGTGTGTGTGTGTGTGTTGGCTTCCCTCAAAAGACTTTTTTATTATTCTTAGCTTAATTTTAAGATTCCAAAACTCACAGCATGTCATAATTAAACATCTCCTAGGAAGTGCACAGTCTGATTAGCACATTAACTCAGGCATAAACCAGCAGTGACCATGCTGCCTCCAGGTCTGGATCAGACCAGTCTGGCAAAGAATAGTCGTGATGAAAACTCCTACTAAGACATACTAACCTCAACATTGTTTTATCTTCCATCAGTGGAGATCTCCTTTTCCCTGTCAATTCTTATGCAATTTTTTAAATCGTTAATTCTGGTCTGAGAACAATCAACTAGCATCCTATAAATATAAATAAATATAAATAAAAAATGGATCCACTAGTTCTGAAAATCAAATAATTTCACCTTCATTCTCAAAGGTTCCCACCACCAAAAAGCTCAGACGATTAGAGAGAAGTCAGAGATATTTTTTAGGGTTACACACCAATAACTAGAGCCCAAGACTTCCCATCCAATATCAACTCCTGTTTTGGAGAGGGAGAGGAAAAGGACTGCCCATATCCTGATGTCTTTTAATTGGGCTGGTTGGCCAGTTGTTTGCTTAAAACAAAATGGTAAGTGCATATGACCATGGAAGTAGAAATATCTTCCCCCACCGTCTACATTTATACTGTCCAAACGGGTAGCCACTAGTTGCACACAGGTATTATGTATTTGAAATGTGCCTAGGCCCACCAAGAAATTGAACTTTTAGGTTTATTGGGGGTTTTTTTCTTAATTTACTCTTAAAACTGATAGTCCTTTGTGTTATTAGAAAATTTTAAATATGTTTGGAACAGCTTAGGTATGTGAATTCACTTTTTTATTTATAAAATTTTATGAAGCCAAACATAAGTATTTCAGATGAAAATCTCATGACTGAATTGTGATGTGCACAAGTGTAAAATATATACTATATTTCAAAGAATAGGCAACAGCATAGACTATCTCATTACTATTTTTAAAAATATTGACTACGTATTGAATGCTTCAATCTATTACAATATTTTAGATATACTATTTTAAATAAAATATATTATTAAATTTAATGTCACTGCCTTTTACTTTTTTTAACATGCTACAGAAAAGATTTGAATTGCATGACTCCTATTACATTTCTGTTGGGCAGCATTGATGATGAGTAACCAGTGGCCTGAGTATCAGAGATGGGCCGGTGAAGTGGTTTAAAAAAATCTATGTAGCATGAGGAAAAAGCAGAGAGGCCAGACAGGACTGCAATCACACCCTAGCTCTAACACTGAACAAGTCATCAGCTTCCTCAGCCTACATTTCCCCATGTGTAAAATGGGAAGAATGGTTTCCTAGCTCAAATAAAATATTTGTAAAGTATCTGGCACATCACAGGAATAAACAGTTGAAAGTAGAAAGCAGAGATTTCAAACTACTAAGAATTAACTGCTTCTCAGTGTTTATGCCTTCTTGTAAATGGGCTGTGATCTCTGGACCCTTTCTTCCCCTAATACTCCCACGACTCTGTTATTACCTTCCTTTTAAAGATGAATAACGGCAACCTTTATACTCAACATTATTATCAAAATATTCAACAACTGGAGGTACTGCTTCCATTTGTGTTTTAATGTGGTAGTAAATTCATTTCTGAGAATACCGTCATGATTTTTTTGAATCTAAAATTCACCTTAAAGACACTTATAGGGGCTCCTAAGGAGTGCAGTCGATTAAGCATCTGCCTCTTGGTTTTGGCACAGGTCAGGATCTCAGGGTCATGAGATGGAGCCCCTTGTGGGGCTCTGGGCTGAGCACAGAGTCTGCTTGAAATTCTCTCCCTCTCCTTCTATCCCTCTTGCTCATGCTCTCTTTCTCTCCTTCTCTCTAAAATAAATTTTAAAATCTTTAATAAAAGAAGAGAGAGAGAGACTTGTAATATCAGAATACTTATTAAGTCCTTTTCAGGCTTCCTAAAACTCATCACAGCGAGACCTTGTTCTCTTGAGTATTTGGTAGGCTCTAAGATGCTCTATGTAAGACATTAAGTTAATAATAATGAAGCATCATTATTAAACATGTAAAACATGGGAGCCAGCAATATTTATTTTAAAATTAATTATATCTATTGTTATATTCTATATTCTTTGTGATTTGGAAAATGCCTGCAAATTCTTATGAGGTAATACCATAGTCCTCAAAAGATTAGGAAAGATAAGCCTATGACAAATAAAATTAAGTCCTCCTTCACAAAGCAAACAGTAAAACCATAGATAGAGCCTTTTTCACCCAAAAGGAGAGCAATATAGACTGAAAAAATTTCAAAATGATTTAGATAAATTAATGCCTAGAAAATCATCATATAAGTAATCACTGAAAAGTGTAAAGTCTGGAAATCATCTTTCATCTTTCAGCAGGATGGCAAGGAGAAAAATCAAGCCTTCCCCACAGTGACTTTTCCTACCTGACTCCTAACAGGAAGGCTTAAGGGTCAACTCATTCTTATGATCATTCTTCTGTTTCTATAAAAACTAATTTACAATGACCTCTCTCTTCTGTTTCTTGCACTTTTTACTCATGGTTTTCCATTTAGTCCTCTTATCATTGTTTTTCTTCATTCATCTGATGAATATTTATTGAGCCCTTACTATGTGCCAGCTGGTCTCCAGGCCTCACCATTAAAACTTACTAGGCTGTCATATTACTCAAACAAAAGCACTAATGCGAGATGGAGATAGAGAGAGGCAAAACATATTTTTTTTTCATTAGTTGGGTAATATATGTGTATGTGTGTATACTCTTCATTATGTCTGACTTGTCACCAAAATAAATTTGAAGTTATCACACAGCATCCAAGTTCATAAAAATTAACTTGTTGGTTTCTAACATAATTTTAAGTAAGTTATTATTTTAGCTTATCATAGAGCTGAAATTCAAAGTTCATTTGTGGTTTCAAATAATCTATTCTTAGATTGTATATTAATACTAATATCTCCTGATCAAAATTTACCATTGATGGCAAAATTTACCATTTTTGATGGCAAAATTTACTATCATAACTCTTTTGGGTCTTCTCCAAAGTATTCAGATAGTTACATAATAGGTCAGATATCTCCTACTGAAAAATCTTGTGTTTACTAATTCACACCTAAGGGGGCCTTTCTAGGAGAAAAAATTAAAAAGACAGGTCAAAGACCTTCATATGTTTATTAGAGAAAATTTCTCTTGTTTATTAAATTATAAATATTTACTTGTTCAATTCTCCATTAGATTGTAAGCAATCTGAAGGTAGGGGTAAGGGCTCACTTTCTATGTGCCCATCTGAAAAGCATGGGTTTCATGACAGTTTGCTTGTGATTAAATGGAAGGTTGGTTGGATGAAAAAGAGAAATAAACATTGGGATTTAAGATTTACCAATAAAATGAGAAGTACCCAGGTGGCTCGGTCAGTTGAGCACCTGACTCTTGATTCCAGCTCAGGCCAGGATCTCAGGGTTATGGGATAGAGCCCAACACCAGACTAGCACTCAGCACAGAGTATGCTTGTGATTCTCTCTCTCTCTGCCTCTGCCCCTCCCCGCTGTGCTCTCTCTCTCTCTCTCTCTAAAATAATAAATATTTTTTTAAAAGTTACCAATAAAATGAGTCTAATTTTTGAGACTATTTTTCAACCCTTTAGTTAAAAATACCTGTGTTAGGTGATGATGTGTCAACATAGGTTCATCGATTTTAGCATATGCATTATACTGTTAGGAGATGTTGGTAATGGGGGAGGCTATGCATGTGTGGGGGTAGGGGAAATCTCTGTACCTTACTCTCAATTTTACTGTGAACCTTAAACAGCTCTAAAAAATAAGTTTTTAAAAAATAGGTGTTAAACTTTAAAAATATCAATGTATGACTGTGTACTTTATTGTATAAAATAAAATAGTGGTTAATTAATTCAGCCTCAACTTATTGCAGTCTTAGCAATGTGCCAAGCACTACTTTCAGAGCTGAGGTTTAAAGATAAATAAGATCTGTAAATGTAAAGTAGGAAATGGAGGGCTGGTACCGCCAAATTCATGTGAACGAATCATGATGTTAAATAATGATTAAACCATGGAAAAGAAAATCCATGGAATAATGCATTTCTTACTCAGAATGTGATCTCTTCCCCAATGAAAACGAATGACAAAATCTACTTTTTCAGATGCCTTGAAATTTTTCAATGTTTTACACTTTTTGCTTGTTGCTTAGAAAATGCTACCTCCTAATACAAAGTAAGATGTCCTCAGTGCCTCTGTCTTTTGTTAAAGAGTCCAGTAGGAAGGGAATGGAAAGAATGAGATCAGAAATGTCATGGACTAGAGAAGAGAAAAAATATCAGCACGAGATAAACTGGAGCAAAGTTCTGCATAATATCATTCTCATATTAGATCAGAACACTGGAACCAATTATTAGATCAACCAGGAACCTAGGGTAAGAAGCTGAGAAATGCCTAGAAATGAATAACTGCATTAGACACATACTTTGCGAGGACTGTCGGTTAAAGGAAACAGTGCAGAAATCCTCTGAATAAGCTTATGAGCGGGCTGAAGTCTTGATCAGCGAAAACTAACAGCCTGTCATTGGCTGGTCCTGCTCCTGAAGCAGATCCTTCAAGGCTCTTGGCAGCTGGCAAGATGTAGCAACTTCTCTCAGCACTACCGGCCTGGTCTGGCAGGTTCGTTCCTTTGACTTTGGCAGATAGTATCTCTGGTTCTTTAAAAGCGTCAATCGTGTTAACCCAGACCAGTGTAAATGATAATAGACAAGAAAACCTGACCACTGGGGAATGGCAAACCTTTCTGAAGTGAACAAAGTTTAACAAATGGAAGAACTGACCAAGCCTTGTAGCAATGTCTGCCCACCTTAAACCCATTCTAAGAGGTTACTCAAGTCCCACTTACCCCTAACATCTGGTGGAGGTAGTGATACTCCGGCCCTTGGTTATACAGCAGGAAGGCTTTCCAGAAAAGCAAAACATTCAGGGAGAGCCAGATAAACTAAATCATACAGAGAGAGAGAAAACAAAAATTAAAAACAAACATTATCTGATGAATGGAAACCTCAAGTACATTCGTCAGACACAGTACTTTCAGCGGAAGCTGGATTAGGACTCGCAGAAAGCATTTGCAATTAACCAGCAAGCTGAAAAGCCACTCGGGAAAGCAAACCGGACCTTACTCAGTCCCTGCACCTGAGATCTAGCATCTGGGTGGCAAAGAGGTCTCCTAAGGGATGTGCAGGTGTCCCCTGCAGTACCTAAGGAGACTAAGGAAGGAGTCCGGGCATCGCGTGTCGTTACAATGCAAAACCAAAACAGAAGCAATTCGGGAAAAGAGCAAAGGGGTGGGGTGGGGGGTGGGGAGGGATGTTTAAAGGGTTAAGAAAAAGTTGCGTTCACTAAAAGGGATCACCTCTCCCTCTCCCTCTCCCTTCCTCCACATCCGCTCTCCCAGGGCAGTGCAGGAGAGTTCCCAGGCATTTGGAGCGGGGATGCGGGCGGGGGGGGGGGGGGGGGGAAGGCATCGTTATTGTCTCCAGGTAGGAAGAGCGGAAAGTTTCTGTTAGTTTGAGAACGTCCGAATTAGAGGCAAAACTTCTTCCAGCTTCCCACCCGCGCACGCTCAGAGAATGAATCAGAGTGGCTGCACAGAGACAAAACGCAGGGAGAGCCTCGCCCGCCATCCTACCAGGCAGAGGTGCTTAACCCCTTCGTTGGCCAGCCAGTTCCTCCAGGACACAGCCATGCCGCCGGCCCCCCGCGCTGCGCTCTCCGCCCGCCGGCCAGACAAGGAGCGGCGGCGGCGGCCGGGGCGGCGGGTGCAGTGGTGCGGCCTGCGGGGGGGGGGGGGGGGGCGGGGAGGGGGCGGAGGGTCAAAGCCCGAGTGGAAGCGCGGGGGCGGGCGCCGAGCCGGCCCGGCGGGGTGTGCGGCGCGCGCGGGGGTCTGCGCCGCGGCCCCGGCGGCCCCCGCCCGGCGCCCCGAGCGCGCTCCCCGCCCGCCGCCCGCCGCCGCCCGCCCCGCCCGCGAGCCCGCCCTCCGCGCGCGCCCCTTTGTCTGCGGGCGAGCCGGTCGCGGAGGCTGAGCCGCTCGGAGGTCCCGGCCGGGAGCGGGCGGCGCGGCTCGCGGGGGCGGGGCGGGAGGCGGCTGGAGCAGACCCCCCCCCCCTCCCCGGGCCGCGCCGCGCCCGCGTCCACTCGCACACACCTGGTTCTCGGGCACCGGTCGTTGGCCCCCAAAACGTTCAACTCAACTGAGGCTCCGTAAGGAAATTGGAGCCGGAAATAGCCTTTTGTGTAGGAGCGTCCGCCTTCTCCCGCCCCTCCTCGGCGCCGCATCCCACCCCCAACGGACGCCTCCCCGCACCCCTACCTACGGCTTCCCTCCACCTGCCTCCCCTCGGCCCCTGCCCTCAGCCCAACGTGTTCCAGCAAAGCGATCGGAGAAAACTCGCATTAAAAAGAGCCCAGCGGTTTGATGGTTAAAGCTGACGTAATTCTCAGGGGGCTTTATAGGGAAGCTCAGATTCCCTCTGTTTAGAAATGTTCGTCTTATTACCTAGTGTCAGAGTCTGTTTAGCAATGGGAATCCTCTCAAACTTGCACAGAGGCCCGGTGAACGGTGAGAAGAGTCTGGGATCGACACAGGCTACCTATCCTACACCAGAAATTACCAGTATTAGGAAAGGGGGGGGGGGTCATTCATAAAGAAGAATGTCCGATGCAAAAAGTAAGTGTGCAGCAAAAGTTTATGAAGTCAGGAATTCTCCAAACTTTAACAACTAACAAGTGGCAGAAAGGGGTAACCTAATCTCGTGGCTTTCAAGCTTTTTAAAAAAAAAAAAAAAAAACAGTTCCATTTTACAACACGTGCCATAACATGTAATTGAAACTAAAATGTCATAAAATCTTCTCCTACTACAGCAAGGTACTTACTGCAGTTAATTTCATGAAATGAGCAATGACAGTAACCCTCAGTTCAAAACTTAAATTAATCCACATCAGCTGTAGGGTACATTTCATGCAGTCCACTTTCTAGCAGTCTGTCATTTCTCTGAGATAAAGAAAGGACTTTCCTGTTTCATGCATGATCAAACCCTGAAAAATGCTTTAAATCTTTCTGGGGTTAAAAAGGATACTACTTATAAATAACACCCTGTTTTTCATATTGCCCGTAAGATACCTAGAGGACACAAAAAAAAAGACCACACAGAGAACCCAAGGAGGGTCACTGCTAGGAAAGGTCAAATTCTGGGACACACTGATACTTCTCTCAAATTACACCTTTAAGTAACCATCTGAGAGCTCTAAGTTCAATAGGTGGGAGGTAAAAAGGATCCAGCAAAATGGTTTGGTTTTTGCCACGATTTGACAGGAATGAAGCAATGGAAGAAGAGTAAAATAAAAGACACTTTTTTTTTCTTGACCTAATTGATCTAGTTCTTTTTTTACCCCCAGTTTTATTAAGAATTTGTTGACACACATCGTATAAGTTCAAGGCACACAATACGATGGTTTGATTTACATGTATTGTGAAATGATTACCACAACAGGATCAGCTAACATCTATCTTCTTATATAGATAAAGTAGAAAGGGGGAAAAATATTGGGATGAGAACTCTTATGATTTATTCTCTTAACTCCTATATATAATAGAGCAGTTTTAGCTATGGTCATCATATTGTACTATATCTCTAGTACTTATCACTGAAGTTTGTGCCTTTGACCACCTTCCTTCAATACTCCCTCCCCAATATCCTCTACCTCCGATAACCATAAGTCTGTGCTCTTTTTCTGTGAGTTGTTTTTTGTTTGTTTGTTTTTGTGAGAATTTTTATTTCTCTTATAAGTAATAACAGTATTTTTCTTTGACTTATTTCATGTAGCATAATGCCTTCAGGTTCCATCCACATTGTCACAAATGGTAGTATTCCCTCATTTTTTTATGGCTGACTAATATTCCATTGTATATAGATATACACCACAACTTCTTGTCCATTCATCCACCAATGCACACTTAGGTTATATCCATGTCTTGGTTAGTGTAAATAATGTTGCTTTGAGCATGGGGGTGCAGATATTTTTTCCAGTTAGTGTTTTATTTTTTTTTAAGATTTTATTTATTTATTTATGAGAGAGACAGAGAGAGAGGCAGAGACACAGGCAGAGGGAGAAGCAGGCTCCATGCAGGGAGCCCGACGTGGGACTCGATCCCAGGACCCTGAGATCATAACCTGGGCCGAAGGCGGCGCTAAACCGCTGAGCCACCCAGGATCCCCAGTGTTTTCATTTTCATTTTCATTTTCATTTTCTTTGGACATATTTCCAAAAGTGAAATTGATGGATCATACCCTTAAAGTCCTATCTTTAATTTTTTTTGAGACTCCTCTATACATTTTCCATAATTGCTATACCCATTTACAATCCCACCAACAGCGCACAAAGGTTCCCTTTTCTCCACATCCATGCCTTGTCTTGTCTTTTGTTGATGGCCATTCTAATAGGCATGGGATCGATGCTTCATTGTGATTTCAATTTGCATTTTCCTAATGACCAGTGATGTTGAGCATCTTTTCATATACCTGTTGGTCTCTCATATATCTTCTTTGGAGAAAGATCTATTCAAGTCCTTTGCCCATGTTTTAATTTTTTGGGTTTTTTGTTTTGGTCTTGTTTTTAGTTTTTGCTATTGAGTTGTATGAGTTCTTTATATATTTTTTTATATTAACCCTTTATCTGATGTATGGTTTGCAAATATTTGTTCCTACTCTATAAGTTGTCTTTTCACTTTGTTGATGGTCAAAGTTTGTTGTTGTTGTTGTTGTTGTTGTTAAGTTCAGCTACCTCTAGGGGAAAAAAAGACAAAAATAATGGACCAAGCTCTTACTATGTACCTACTACTTGTCAGCCATTGTCCTTGGTACTTCTTATACAAAGTCTCACTTAATGCATTTTATAGCTCTCCTGGTGAAAGTCAGCGCCCCTACTTTAGAGATAGAGAATCTGAAACTGAAAGAGATTAAACTCACCTGAGAGGGAGGGGGAAATGGGTAGATGTTAGTTAAAGGGTACAAACTTTCACTTACATGATGAATAAGTTCTGGAGATGGAATACACAGCACAATGATTATAGTTAGCAATATTGTAATATATACTTGTAACTGTCAAAGAGAATAGATCTTAAACATTCTCACCACAAAAAAAAAAAAAAAGGATAACTACATGAGGTGATGGAGGTATTAGCTAAGCCACAATGGTGGTCATTTCACAATAGCTAAGTATCAAATTAACATATTCACCAAATCAATGTAATCAACACTTTAAGCTTACACAGTGTTATGTCAATTATATCTCAATAAAGCTGGAAAATATTATGTTAGCTGGAAGAATAAGAACATTACAATAAACATTTTAAAAATCCAAAAAAGAAGAGAAACTTGCTTGAGATAGCAAAACAGGATTTGCTTTCAGTTCCGACAACCCATAATCAGGTACTCCTGTAAAGTCCTTTTGTAGAATGATAGAATGCTATACAAATGTTGATTATTACATTGATCTTGTGGGAGTTCTGTAAAAGAGGCCTATCTAACTGTGTATGTTGCCTTACAGGGAAATAATACTGCAAACTATCTATCCTCAGGGGACAGAGCTATTGCACTGTTATGCAGGAACTCTCATTAATGAGGTTCTTTTCAACATTATTTTCTCTAGGCCAGATTGTTTAGTGCAATAGTTACTGTTTTTATCAAGATAGGAAAGACTGTACTTGAAAGGAATGAGGAGAGGGTTCTGTAGCTATATCAGTATTCCAAAAATCATAATGAAAAAACAAATCACAGTTTTGCCAAGAAAAGACTTCACAGGAAAAAAAAAATCAAATGACAAATACCTTTGCTCTTGATTTAAATAATAGTAAAATAGTAGTGACCACGCTATGCTGATTATAACTTGTTTGGCATCTGGCGATGTTTTTGATCTTTATTTGTGACTTAATAAACACTGTCTAAGGTAGACAGTGTCAGAATATGAAATCCATTGGGAAAAAGTTGATTAAAGTTTACCCCTTTGACCTACTTTATTACTCTCTCCTTTGTGTGTCAGCTCAGAGGCATGCCTTTGACATGAAATTTTTTCTAGCTCCCCTCTCCTGTGGGCTCATACAGACTCACCCTGTAGTCTATGTACTCTTCATCATGTTCATAATACTCTGTACATAAGATCATTACTGCATTTTCCATATTAATTTGTGTGTGTGTCTAACTCTCCTCATCAACCTCCTCAAGGACAAGGATCCTGTCTTATTAATTTTTATTCCACGACTCAGGACAAAGATTAAAACATACGAGGAATTTACAGAGTGAATAGTAGGTAAGTATATTATCCTTATTTCTGTACCTGTCTCAAACTCCAGTTTCTCAAGTGTAACTTTGGTAATATAAGAGAAGTTTCTGCTCAGCTTGATAATTAACTACCAGTAAGGACAAATAGGTCAAGAATTCTTTGATCTAGGTGCCACCTACACCACAGATCATAGGATATGCAGTTGAGACAAGTGGGCACCTAAATTAGTTTCCTGGGGCTGCAGTAACAAGTTATCGCAAATTTAGTGACTTAAAACAATAGAAACTTATTTTCCCCGCAGTTCTGGGAGCCAGAAGTCTGAAATCAGACCATTAGTTCAGAATCAAGGGGTTGACAGGGCCGCACTCCCTCCTGAGATTACAAGAGAAAAGTTGTTCCTTGCCTCTTCCCCATTCTGGTCATTCCAATTTCTGCCTCCAGGGTCACTTCTCCTCTTCTGTCTGTGTATGTCAACTCACTCTTTGCCTCTCTCTTCTAAGGACACCTGTGATGGTATTTAGGGGGTGCCCATCCCCATCCAAAATATTCTCCCCATGTCAAGATCCTTAAATTAATCACATCTGTATACCCCCACCCCCTCCCCCACCCCCCACCAAAGGAACATTTACAGATTCCTGGGATTAGAACCTGATATATTTGGGTGGTCATCTTTTGCCCTGCTACCATACCAAAATTAACTTAATTGGTATTAATTTTATTTCCCTGGTTGGCTATGCCAGCCTTAGAGTAGGATTTTTGAGGAAATTCACCTTAAAAAATGAAAGTTGAGACTCCTGCTTAGCAAGAAATCAAGAAGTCAGGAACCATGCACCTTTGTGACTTGATTGGATTTACTATTTATGTTATCTTGTATCTGATTATCAGGACTGATAATTGTTAAACTCAAGATTA